TCCTATTACAGTACTGTAATAAATTAAAAAACTATATAAATAAATAAAAAATAGCTTAATGACATTATCATATTTTTAAAAAGTTGAAGTCTCTTTCTTTTTTTCTCTTTTTAAAAATAATTGTAGCTAATGTGCTGTCATTTTAAAATGTCAACCCTGTTACGATTACCGCATGTAGTGAACGTCTCAGTTAAGCATTTCACCCTCATTCCCTGAAGGAGGGAATGGAGACATTAAATCGACATACTCATGTATGAGGATTCCCTTGAAAACCCCAGTCACATCTGAGTAGAAAAAGAAAAGGCCATTGAACATTGGCGAGTGGAATTTGTATGCCCAGCGACTCCCCCATACACAAGTATATAGGATGGTAGCGTGCATTCACTCATTCAGGTTTGTGCTGAGGAGCTGAGACTGTATCCCGGCCATTCAGCAGTGTAGTTCAGGGTTGTGGCAAGAGCTGCTGTTCCTTTACCCTGAGTTTATGACTTTTTCACAACAACAACAACAATAACAACAAAAGAGAATGCTTCAGCTCTTTTCATTTCTTATGTAGCTTCAGCTGCGACCAATTGTATAACACTGTGGAAGCGTGCATAAGTCATGCGAAGAAAGCCACTATGGAGACCACATCCTGCCTAAAGGCAGGTAACATGTAGACAGTACATATATGGACTGACCGACAGGGCAGTACTACATATGTAAATGTCTCTGTGGTTGGCCCTACCTCAGGAGGGATGGAACCACTACCAGTGCAGAGACTCAGAAGGAGGTGATGCTCTGAGTGGAGTGAGCCCTCACTCCTAAAGGGCATGGCTCGCATTGTGTCTGGTAAACCAAGATGATGGCATCTACTAATCAGCGGGCTAACCTCTGTTTGGAGATAGCCTTTCCCTTCTGCTGACCCCCAAAGCTGACAAAGTGCTGCTCAGAGCTTCTAAAGCTCTGTGTGCAGTCCACATAAATGCAAAGAGCATGAACAGTACACAGCAACACAAAGGCAGGGTCTGCCTCCTCCAAGGGCAGCGCTTGTAAGTTCACCACCTGATCCTGGAAAGGAGTGGTGGGAACTTTGGGCACGTATCCAGGGCTGGGTCTCAGGATAACGTAAGAGTCAGTCAGCCCAAATTTAAGGCATGTTTTGCTGACTGAAAATATCTATAGGTCCCCTACCCTCTTGATGGAGGTAAGCATGGTCAGAAGTGCTGTCTTCAGAGACAGGATCTCTACAGCTCTCTACACTCCAGAAAGGACCACAAAGAGATCCCAAGAGAGGACAAGACACACCCTAGGGCAATTTAGCCTCCTCACACCTCTCAGGAACCTGATGATCAGGTTGTTCCCATGGATCTACCATCCACTGCATTGTGATGTGCTGCCAGGTAGAGGGGGCTCTGGCCTGATTGCTAGTAGCTATCACGGCCTGTGACAGACCCCTTAAGTCTTCCGTGTTCCATCCAGGAGCCAAACGTGGAGGTTCCAAAGATCTGGATGCGCACACCTCTCAGGAACCTGATGATCAGGTTGTTCCCATGGATCTACCATCCACTGCATTGTGATGTGCTGCGATAGCACCAACATACACTTTTAAGGTGGAGGGGGACAGCCTCTGCTCCAGCCTCTTGCGCAAAAAGGAAAGCACAACACTGATCGGGCATCTTCTGGGCAAGAAGAACACCGCTCAATGAGCAGACTCCACATCAAGGCATAAGCCTGCCAGGTAGAGGGGGCTCTGGCCTGATTGCTAGTAGCTATCACGGCCTGTGACAGACCCCTTAAGTCTTCCGTGTTCCATCCAGGAGCCAAACGTGGAGGTTCCAAAGATCTGGATGCGCGTGTCAAATTGTGCCCTCCACTTGAGAAAGAAGGCTCTTCCTCAGGGGGAATCGCCATAGAGAGTGTGTCGCAAAGAGAATCAGGTTCGAAAATCAGGTCAGAGTGGGCCAGTAGGGCGCAACCATCAAGACCTGCTCCTCGTCCTACCTAATCTTGCACATGGTTTGACTTCAGAGGAGGAGGTGGCGGGCAAGTTACGACATGCAACTTGAGCGTACACTGCCTTGGTGGTTGATGTATGCAACTGTCGCAGTGTTGTCCATCCGGACATGCACATGCTTGACCTGAAACAATGGTCGAAATGGGCGCAGGGCCAGCAGTACTGTCAGCAACTCGAGGCAATTTATATGCCACTGCAGTCAAGGTCTTGTCCAGGAGCCCGAGGCTGGCTGCCCATTGCACACAGCTCCCTAGCCTGTTCTGGAGGCATCTGTTGTAACAACAACATGCCTGGACAATTGTTCAAAGTCTGGGGATAACGGTGCCATGCCCATCATGGAACTCGTCCATGTAGCTAGTGCTAAAGCCAGTCTCATATGCATCAATCTGAGCCACGTTACTGTGGCTGCAGATGCTATTTCCCCTAGGAACCTATGAAATTGTTTCAGTGGAACCAGTTTTCCCCCTGGACGAGTTCAGACAGTTCAGCATTGAATGGGTGTGCTTGTTTGTGAGACACGTCATCATGTTGACCGAGTCCAATTCCATACAGAAGAAAAGAGATGCTCTGCACTGGGAAGAGCTTGCTCTTCTCCCAGTTGACCTGAAGCCCAAACTGACTAAGGTGCCAGAGCACCAGGTCCCTGTGCTTGCAAAACAGATCTCAAGAGTGAGCTAGAATGATCCAGTCATCGATATAGTTGAGAATATAGATGCCCATTTCCCTTAATGGGGCAAGGGCACCCACCGCTACTTTTGCACACAGCTCCCTAGCCTGTTCTGGAGGCATCTGTTGTACAACAACATGCCTGGACAATTGTTCAAAGTCTGGGGATAACGGTGCCATGCCCATCATGGAACTCGTCCATGTAGCCAGTGCTAAAGCCAGTCTCATATGCATCAATCTGAGCCACGTTACTGTGGCTGCAGATGCTATTTCCCCTAGGAACCTATGAAATTGTTTCAGTGGAACCAGTTTTCCCCCTGGACGAGTTCAGACAGTTCAGCATTGAATGGGTGTGCTTGTTTGTGAGACACGTCATCATGTTGACCGAGTCCAATTCCATACAGAAGAAAAGAGATGCTCTGCACTGGGAAGAGCTTGCTCTTCTCCCAGTTGACCTGAAGCCCAAACTGACTAAGGTGCCAGAGCACCAGGTCCCTGTGCTTGCAAAACAGATCTCAAGAGTGAGCTAGAATGATCCAGTCATCGATATAGTTGAGAATATAGATGCCCATTTCCCTTAATGGGGCAAGGGCACCCACCGCTACTTTGGTGAAGACGTGGGAAGCAAGGGTTATCCCAAAAAGGAGGACTTTGTACTGGTATGCCTGACCCTCGAAAGCAAAGCGAAGAAACGGTCTGTGTTGAGGCAAGTTCGAGAAGTATGCATGCTTCTGGTCGATCGCTGCAAACAAATCTTGGGCTCGTACCCTTGTGTTTCTGCATCAGCATCTTGAATGGGAGCTTGTGCGGAGCCTGCTTCAAGACTCGCAGATCCAAGATCAGTTGTAGCCCACCACCTTTCTTGGGTACAATGAAGTAGAAGCTGTAAAACCCCGACTTCATCTCGGCTGGGCGGACAGGCTATATTGCGTCCTTTGCCAGCAGGACCGCAGTCTCCACACGGGGTGGGCTGGGAAGCACTAGCCAGGCTCCCAGACTCTGTACAAGCGCCACCAAAGGGACAATCGATGCACCCGCGGAGGGGCAGCGACAGGGAGCACTGGGGCCTGGAGTAGAGGGGGTGAGAGTGGAGTAGCACTTACCTGGTCTTTGAGGTGTGAGCTTTTGGCGTGTGGTGAATGGGGAGGACGAGGCTGGAAGTGAGGAAACGTCCATTGCTGCCTGACTACATCGAGTATGACCCAGAGACTGAGGAAACTGCTCTTTCATTGATAATTTGGGTACCGCTGGCTCATCAGAACAGAAAACAAAGGCAGCAAAAGCCCTATTCTGGGGGAAGGAGCGGTGCTGTCACCACCTCTTGGGAAAGAACAATCCCCTCCATCTCTTGATTTCCCTTGTCAGGGCTGCTTCGCTGTCCGCTTGGAGGGCTTAGTGGCAGCACTTAACTGTGCTCCGACCAGCAAAACACTGCTTAATGCGTTGTAAATAATGATCCTTTCCAGCGAAAGAGAGCTTCCCATTCTGTGAGGGGAATTGTAAGAACAATTGTGCTATCACAGCTGCAACCGGCTCGGCTCCAAAGTAAAAATCTGAATAAGTGGATGCACGCTGCCATATTATATACCCGTGTGTACAAGGAAGTGGCTGGGCAAGCAAATTCCATTTGCCAATGTTCATTGGCCTTTTCTTTTACTACTCAGAGGTGATTGGTGTTCCCAAGGGAATCCCCATATGTCAATATGTGGACGTAATGTCGAAGGTTACTGACTGAAAGGGAACAACAGATAATAGAAAGTTAAAATTTTGCAGCAACACACATTTTTCAAATCTTTTAATGTTAAATTAAAATCGTCAGCCCTGTTACCGTTCAGAAGGTGCAATAATGTCCAATACAATTTATAAATTTATGATATGCCGATGGAATGTTTAAAATCTTTATTTATGTATTTATTTATTTAATTAAATGAAATGTTGTGTTGTAACATGTTTTACTTCAAAACGAACTAAAATAAATATCTAATAAAATCAATTATTTAAATTAACAAACAATCATGAATGAAATCATCTTTTGTCTTTATAGGCATTATGAATCTACCAGCTGTGGCTTTGGGAATCATCACTGGTGGGTTTATAATGAAGAAGTTCAAATTGAATGTTCTCGGAGCAACCAAGATCTGCACTGGAACGTCTCTTCTGGCTTTCTCTTCGATGCTTATTCAGTATTTCCTGCAATGTGACAACTCGGTGTTCCCAAGGGAATCCCCATATGTCAATATGTCGACGTAATGTCGAAGGTTACTGACTGAAAGGGAACAACAGATAATAGAAAGTTAAAATTTTGCAGCAACACACATTTTTCAAATCTTTTAATGTTAAATTAAAATCGTCAGCCCTGTTACCGTTCAGAAGGTGCAATAATGTCCAATACAATTTATAAATTTATGATATGCCGATGGAATGTTTAAAATCTTTATTTATGTATTTATTTATTTAATTAAATGAAATGTTGTGTTGTAACATGTTTTACTTCAAAACGAACTAAAATAAATATCTAATAAAATCAATTATTTAAATTAACAAACAATCATGAATGAAATCATCTTTTGTCTTTATAGGCATTATGAATCTACCAGCTGTGGCTTTGGGAATCATCACTGGTGGGTTTATAATGAAGAAGTTCAAATTGAATGTTCTCGGAGCAACCAAGATCTGCACTGGAACGTCTCTTCTGGCTTTCTCTTCGATGCTTATTCAGTATTTCCTGCAATGTGACAACTCACAAGTGGCTGGTCTTACAGTGTCATATCACGGGTAAACAAGTACTACAGTTCAGTTGTTTATCATCATTTTCTCTGGCAGCTTTGAGTGGTCAATGGAATTGGATCTTTTAACCATGTTCTGTTTGGGTCTCAGAGGCCCCAATTCTTTGTGTAAAAATAAACATTTTGATATTAACTTCTTTTCCCGCAAATTCTTTTTATACACTACCAGTTAAAAGTGATCAGAATTAATGCTTTGCTTGATGTTTTGAAGGAAGTCTCTTATGCTTACAAAGGCTGCATTTATTTGATAAAAAAGGCAGTAAAATAGTAATATTATGAAATATAACCATTTTATATTCTTATATTTTAAAATATAATGTATTCCTGTGATGGCAAAGCTGTATTTTCAGCA